ACTTTGGGAAGCCTTTCCTAGCAGGGGAGCGGCGTGAAGCATTGCTCCCTGGTCTGGCAGCGTTCACCTTTACTCTTTGCCATGTCTATGTGGTGGACAGGCAGAATTTGTCGATCGGGCTCGTGTCGCTGAGGTCTGTGGTCTGAGACACTCAGCACGACATCATGATGTCTAGCAGCGTGTTGCCTTGCTCCAGCAAAGGATTGTTTTGTCCTTATATATATGGGCCTGGCAAGGATGAGCTCTGATCCATCACTTCCACTGGTGCTGAAATAACAAGAAATATTACTGCAAAAAAAAACTCCAGTGGGGATGGGGGCAGCTCTGCTAAGGGAAGTGATTATTTATTGTTGCTTGGACCTTGGTGGACATGACCTGGTGTGTCATCCTGCCCGCCAAGAGGTGCTGAGGACTCTGGTCCCTTTGGGAGGACCATCCCACGGCCAGGAATCACATCACCCCCCCCACGGGTGGTGTGTGAGCAGGTGATGGACATGACGGGTACGTGGCCCTTGCACAGGGGAGGGGACCCCCAGGGCCAGGCAGCCTGTGTGACTCGGAGCATGGGGACCCTGCAACTCGCAGGTGGGGACATGAGCCCCACTTTCCAGCTGGGCTGGGGTAGAGGTACGCATGAAAGTGCATATAGAGGCCAAACTCCCCATGCCACTCAGGAGCAATATGAGCCCTGCACAGGGCAGGAGAGGCCAGCGGTGGCTTTCAGGCTGCTGTGGTGGCTAGAAGAAGGATGCCTGGACCTCCTCATCTCTATCATCTCTAGGGCCCCTGTAGGGACACCTCCCTGCCTTTGCGCTTCACTGTGCCACAGAGATGTCTCCTGTGCTGAATACAGGTTGCTGCCGCCATCCTTGTCCCCTCTGGCTGTACCGTCCCTACTCCGTGCACCCTGTCCCCAGTACCCATCAAGGCTGTCTGGGTTGGGAGGCAGTTTCTGTGGCTGCAGGTTGCAGTCTCCCCCAGCACACTATGGGCTGCGGCACCCGGAGCCAGGAGGATAATGAGATCTTAATAGTCCAATTATATCCCATCGATTTACTCAGCACGTAATTGTTGGCGGCTGGGGCTGCCTGATGAAGCGCTGCCAGCGGGGAGGGCCGGGCCGCGTTGCCCAGTCTAGGATGCTCCTCGCAGCAACCAGCTGTTCCCCCTTGAACTGCAGCAGGAGCAGCCCCCCCACCCCGACTCGCTGTTCCGCCCCCAGGAGGGGCAGGGGACA